GCAGGCAAAAATCGGTCAGCACAGGAGTTTAGCGACAAATTTGCAACGTTAACCTATATATCTGCCTACTGCTACCAACTGTAGTACGTTGGAGTGCGCCATACCTTTCGGTGCGCGCAAAAAAAAAAAAGATGTCCACAAACCTCGAAAATGTAACTCAGGACAGTTAGGGTCTGATATAATTGTGCTATAAATGGACGTGCATTTTAATGTCGCAGTTGGTTCACAAACCAAAAGTCTGCATGTAACAGTGATATTTTCCTTTCCTCTTAAAAAAAAAATAAAAAAATATATAAAAACCTTACAGTTCAGTGCGGGGGACGTTCGAAACCTCGACAACATGTGCATTTACAAAATTCAGTATTGAACGAACGTCTCTGAAATTGAACACCATTTATCACGCAAAATCTCACATAAACCTCACATAAAGTTCCTGAATCCCGCAACTATGAAAAGTGCGCTATTCTTGCGCTTAGCCATTGGTCTGCTTCAGTTTCAGTTCACATTTGTTTTCAAATATTCTAAATTAGTAAAAAATGAACAAAAAATTCTATAAAAACGCCAACTTACTGGTCATTGCAAGCCCAGATGGACGTGTCAGTTTGTTTGTCTGTAAAATACTCTTCAAGCCCAAGAATTTTGACTATTTCTCGACGCACACGATCAACCCATACTTTGCACTGCAAAAAAAGCTACTCTGTTGATAGCACTGATGGAATTACTGGCAACCTAAGAAGCTGTTCCGTTGTTTCCAGCAGTGAACCCTCCAGTACTTGTACGATTTTTGCTTGTTCTATTTCGCGAAAACGCCAATTATGATTTTTTAGTACAGCAACAGAAGCGTTCCATACATCAGTTATTCCGAAAATTCATCCGGCAAAGCAAAAATATGAAATAAAACATCCGAATAAATTCAATAGCATATTGAGTACCTGTAACTGCTTAGCAACATCAGCAAGGAATTTTTCAAAGCCAAGTTCTGGCACCAGAACCACTATCGGATTTGCACCCCCAGTGGCTAACTCGTGCAGCAAAGTAACAGCACGCGCCAATGATTCGTTCCGACCGGGATATTCCAACTGCTCGGGAATGCTACTGCTTTTGTTGTGCAAGTATACCGTACCAAACTGTTTCTGCAAAATACAACACTTTTAAAGAATACGTCCAGGACCCCCTACAAATCCTTTTTTTCCCACCTGAGCCGATGACAAGGTCCCAATACTTCAACAAATCACAGTTGAAAAAAAAGCTGATTAAAGTGACGAATTCCAGTTTTTTTTTTTTTTTTAAAAAAAAAGTGGGAAACTGCAGTATACTGGGCGGCATATGTGTGAAGTACTAACGGAGGAGTCAGTTCCAAAAACAACTCAAAATTTCTCGCTCTCTTCTAAAAAATAACCTCTTTTTGCACCGGCTATTCTGCCATATTTATCCACTTCGAACATTTCTTGCTTTCTACATTAAAACCCATGTTATGCGTTCTCGCATGTTTATGCAAATGCAAAAAACATACTGGCAAGAGGATGTCGCTATGCGTGTGTGTGTGTGTGTGTGTGATGTGTGTGGTGTGTGTGTGTTTAACTCAACAACTGCAGATGCTAGGAAACTCGAATTTCAAAGAGATTATTCTTGTCCACGTACCACTCAAAAGCTTAAAATTACCGTTCATGTACGAATGGGTCTCAGGTATGGACACCTAAAAACACGTAATTTTTTGGCGGGAAAAGGATTCGGGAACCAGACAAAATAGAAAACTGAAAATTTACTTGCACACATCCTTTACCCGTGTGTAAGCAAAAGATTTCAAATCCAGCTATCACGTTACACGCAGAGATACCCAAAGTTTGAATACAGGAAATGTTTGAGAATTCTACTGACTCGATTGCCCTGTCTTTATGAGAATATTTTTTGTTCATACACGGGCAAATAGATGCAAAATGAGCTTTAGTGCGTGCTTGTTTGGCGCAGTTTGACACTTCAAAGATATTTGTAACGAAAAGCGGTCTTGCAAACCAGCTAATCTTCATTTTTTTTTTTGCACTTTTTTCCCTCCTAAGCTACAGATTTGGCGCCTCCGTCAGTATGAGGAAGCCCGCGTTTACATTCTTTTATTTACAGAGCCCGAATAGGCCCAGTAACAGAACAGTGCAAACCCGCTGCAAAATCGGCATGATGCGTCTGTTCTCATAAAAGCGAGTATCAAGACGGCAATTTCCAGCAAAC